ACTTATTTTACAATACTAAATTAGATATCTCAAACTAATTTGCGTTACCATGTTTCCAAACCTTTCGAACTTATTTCTACATAAAGCTTTGGTAAAAATACCTGCTATTTTTTCTTCTGAATTAACTTTTACAATATCAATTTCGTGCATCGCATAACTTTCGTAAATGAAGTAAAAATAAGTTTTTATGTATTTCGAATTTTTAATAGAATTTCCAAACTTAGCTATAATTACTACACCAGACATGTCTTTGTAAATAATAATAAAATCATAAGCTTTCATATTAAAATCAAGTCACAAATCTTCTATAACTTGCAACTCACTAACAAACTTACACAATGCTACTAACTCAGTTGATGTCAAGGATTTTGTCACACTCTTCTTCTTCTTAGATTTTTAATAAATGATATTCCCATAAAACCGTATGACATAACTTGTCATCGATTTTCTATTATTTATATCTCCTATCCAATTGGCATCAGAATAGTAATTTATTAAGTTATTAGTAAATTTCTTTTCTAAACCTTATTTAAAATTTATTGTTGAATACAAATATTTTTAAAGTTTTTAAAGCATATTTATAATAATCACCATCATAATAACTTTAAAATCAGTTTAAATAATTATCACTAAAACTAACATTAGGTCTAGTTCCTGAACTGATGTATAGAGAAGCTCCAATTCAATTTGTGTACCTAATTTTATCATATGCTGATAGCACGGAGTTCAGTTTGTAATTTTGTTCCGTAGGAGTTACTTACAATTGAGAATTTATAATATTATATTTTATTGCGAGTGTTTCAATATACTTTTTCTGATAAGGAGTCATTTTTTGAATTTCATAGTCATAGTTAATGCTAATACCTAAATAAGTTATTACTTTTTTCAAGTCTTTTCCATTGAATATTTTTAGTATTAATTTTCCTACAAAATTGAATTTTTGATCATTTTATCACTAGATGAATAAATCATGCACAAAAAAAAAAATTGGGTACAGTATTATTATTTTTGTCATTTTAAATATAAAAGCCACAATAATTTTCGCTTCTTTTGAAATCAAAGGTTCTTAAATAAGTATCAAAACATTTATACCAAGCTTCTGGGCTTCATCTCATTCCATACACCGCTTTACCAAATTTTAATACCTCATTGTAACTATTCTGATAGCCTTGTGGCTGTTTTACATATACTTCAAATTTTACTTTCTTATTTGAAAACGATATTTTGACATTCATCTGTTTAATAATTAAATTATTTTGACAAAAATAAGAAATTAAAATTATTTAAGTTTGTATTCTAGCAACTGGTTAAGGAATATTATCAATAAAGTCATTTTTTTGATATCTTCTAACAACTAATCTAGCCTTAAAAATGTCATAAGCATTTTAGGTAGAAATCCAGTTGACATATTAAGCTTTTTTATTGTTTTATTTACTTACAGAAATCAAAGTCATATTTTTGTTTAATCAATACTTTTATTTATTTATTGCTCATTTTCACTTTTTAGACTCATTACTACGTATCACATCACTATAGGAAACAGCATTTGTGTGATCTATATAAATAATATTACTGATCACAAAACTTTAATCTCTCTATCTATCAGGCTTTATTTTTTCGCTAGTTGACCGTCTTACATTTAAAATTTTATTTTCATTCCTTTAACTTTGTTTTTATTTAAAATCATTTTTACCATGCCATCTTCTGATTCTTAACCAATACAATTTGTGCCATCTTCGATGAAATTAATGTGTCGAGCTACTACTATCTCAATATTTATTAGAACTTTATAACAAAAATCTCCATAACTTAACGATATTTTTAAATTTGTTTTTTTGTCCCATTTTAAATCTCTCATTTGTTCTGGTATTCTAACAGAAACTCTACTTCCATGAGTTTAAAAATTTTTTTTGCTAGGTTTTTTCAAAAAAAAACTTAAAAGGTGTTCTATTCGTTTAACAGCATTAGTAATAGTTCTACTGTTTAAGTGAGCTGCCATTTTGACTACTTCTGGCCAATATCAATTATGTACCCTTGCTTCTTCCAAGAAACATTTACACGTATCCGTGATATTCCTATTATAATTTTCAGCCGTTCCATGAAATTCACAGGCACAGTTCAAGAGATATATATTTTTCTCTTGCAAAATCGTTTGTATTATTATAAATATCCTCCTTGCAATTATTGCATCTTAACCTTCTTCTTATTTTTTTCTGTCCTACTCTCAATAAAATTTACATAGTTAATAAAACAATTTTATACATAATCCTTAAATTAAACACAATAAACTTTATCTACTTTACCATAATAATTGATACAACTCAAAAAATAACTCTCGCTATTTAAACCAGTAGTACTATGAGGTCCATTAGAACAATATAAGTAATTTCGAAAAAGTATTTTGCCCTTGATATAATTAAATAGAAAATTATGAATTTCATTTTCCAAACAAATTCTTTATTTAACATATTGATTTTTTTATTCTCTGCGTAAACCATCAAACATTCGTTAGTTGGACATTGTTTTTAGATTATTCAAATTTACATGACCCAGTATTTTTTCGCAGTTCTTCTTTTTCCATTTACTTATTCTTTCTCAGTGAATTTGACTTACTATACATAATTTTAAATATCATATAATAAATATTATCATTTTTAACAGCCTATGCAATTAAATTTTCATTTTTATAAAAAATCTTTGACATATCTCCTACTAATATAATATTGTTGGATTTTGTGACTTTACCATAACATACTAAATTTGTATCCTAACAAAAAATATTTTTTCATCATATTCATTTTACTTTCACTATTAACATTAATCTTGTATCTAAAATAACTAACTTTTGTTGATTTTAAATACCTCACGTCTCGTAATTTTACATTTATGGACTCTCTTAACTCAGCACATTAATAAAAATATCGATTTTCACTTATAACATGATCTAAGCAACCGCTATCGAGTAACAATTCAACGTTACTATAACAGTTGTTTACTTCAACACGTATCTCATTAGGTCTTTTCCAAAATTCCACATTAAAACTACTCATACTACCATTTTTGTTTTGATACCCTTAATTTTTTTGCTGCCAACCACATCCTCGACGATGTTGACTAGAGCCTCTATCAGCTCCATGACCTCAGCTCGACCACCACGTTATTGCCACTGCCGTTGTTGTTGTTGTTGTTGTTGTTGTTGTTGGCGCCCACCTCGTTGCTGCTGCTCACCACATTTATCTCATGAATTACGCCTTGAAGTGTCTAGACTTTCCGCGCTTGAAACATGCTCCATCTTCTTTTCTTTTAGTTGTTAACGCACTTGAACTGTTTTTGCATTTATCGTCCTTTACTTTTAATTCAAATATTTTTATTTAAGATATTCATCTGTTTGATCAGATTCGTTTAATACATTGATTGAGTCACCAATATAAATTAATAAACTTGAAAGCAATCTTATTATGTAGCTCAGTTTTTCTTTTTACAGTCACATTTGCACTAGCACTTTTCAATTCATTATTTAATACTTAAAACTTAGTGAAAAGTGCACTTGAATTTTTAAAGTCTTTGAACTTCAACTTTTTAAACTTGTTTCTCATACAAATTTTTGGTGCAGTAGACTCCTTTATGGACGTTTTATAAAATTTCTTCGTTATTTCACATGCCGTTTCCCTGTCCTTCACGAACTGTCGCGAATAATTCAAAATTCCACTATGTATTACATCGATCGACTAAGTTCTTTTCGATTCACTCTTCTTTTTTATCTGCCATTTTCATGGTTCATGTTGCTACTACGTTGCATTTCTTTAATTTAAGAACTATCGTGAATCTCCTTTTCCAACACTCATAATCTTTTTTATCAAATTATATTGAACACGTTTTTTGTTATACTCTCGGAACTTTTTCTTGAATTCTTTATTAGTGTTGGATTAATACTTTTTTTTAGTTTCATAAGTATTGGATTGATACTTTTACTTTGACTCGTAGTTGTTGTCACAGACCACGAAAACAGCACGTGAAAATCGAAAAAGAGCAGTACTAACCCCGAACTTGGCTACCATGAGATTACAAAATCTCCTCCCTTAATACCGAGAGAGACCCTACGAGAACGTGCGTGCGTGACCACTGCTATGTTCCAGCATATTTACTGTATCACTGTACAAAGTACATATACATTTAATCTTTTATTTACAGTGTTTATGCCACATAACTCACAAAGAGACTGTTAGTTCGTTCAATTACTTGAATAAAACAAAATACAAAAAAATTAAAATAGAGAGCTGAACCAGCTACTCTCACATCAACGGTGGTCTCGAAGAGACGGTGCCACTTGTCCACCTTTCTTACATCATTATAGGCTGGTATCAATGTACAATATTCTTAATAGACACAAGTAAATACATGGCGTTAAAGATAAAATATGACAGTGAGCCAAGAAAGTTGCGTCATAAGAATTCTCAATAGATTGAATGTACAGTTTCACTATGTTCTGGTTTGAAATTCGATCGACGAGATTGTACTGTATATTACATTATGCCCCAAAAGGAATCAAAAATCTGTATGACATACTATACTAGTAAGTTAGTAGGTATTGATTAAGAATTTGTTGTATTTTAGTAAGTACACAAGAGCTGGTTGAGGTTACGCTATAAGCCAACTTAGTAGATGTAAAAACCGTGACATACAAAATCCCTGGACGACAGCAAAACACGTTATTAGGTATAAGAAAGGTTGTTCTGAAACTAACCTACTGTAAATATGCATTGATTTCCTATAGGGTATATTCTGATGCCATCTGGGCATCAAACCACAAAAATACTTGATCAATCACTAGGTACGTGTTTAAGCTACAGACAAGGCCTGTCAGCTGGATCTACAAAAATTAAGAGACGTATTTAATATCTAGTAGCAAGACAAAATACTAATTTTTAGAATGAACGACGTAGAAAGCTCAATGGTCAAATCACTCGGCAGATGATGTTAAAATCCAGGAGCTAAGTCCAATGACTGTGTACTGCGACAAAAAGTTGACAATCAATTATGTTGAAAACGCAGAATTTGTCATCAAAGGAGACTTTAGTTGGGAAAAAATTAAGAAAGGTGAGGTAGTGATAAAAATTTAACTATTAGAAAAGATGATTACTGACTCTGTCACTCAGTGTTTCTCTGCCAAAGTGTGTCAAAACATTTTCAAAACCGTTAGGGTGATATAGAATGTACATAAAAAAAAAAAAAATAATAAAAAAAAAAATAAATGAACGAAGCTTTCTGTTTTTTAACATTTTCAATTTTTTTAGAAAATGTTTGCGATATATAATTGAAGAAAGAACTTTTCATACACCCTTCAATGATGTTAACACAGGTTTTGTAATTACTTCACTTCGTTTTTGTTTTAGAAATCCACATTGAAGAATCGTGATGTTACCAAATGCTCAACATGTTATTTTGAACGTAATAATTATAATTTAGAAACGCCTTTTATAATCATACCTTTATACTTAAGTTCTAACGTAATGTTAGTTACATATCAACACTAGCCAAAGTGGGTAAGATCACCAGTATACAAGTCTAAATGAACTAGAGCAAAAAAATATATTTTAAAAATTATCAGTTGGACGTGAATTTTCAAATTCTCTTGTCCTCTCTTACCATTTATTCCCACATGTAGAAACTCTATGATAAACTAAATATATTATATTCGAATCATTTTTTGAATCACAATGCAATACGCTATTTCTTCATAACTTAATAACATACACAAGTTTGTTATTACGCGAAGTAGGCTTATATCAATAAAATAGTAAAATATGATGGATTAAAACAAATGTGCGTCATTACAGTCAAAAAAGGCAATATGTACATACTTGTATTTTTCTACACAGCAACAAAAACTATAATCAGCGTTTGTTAAAGTATAGATATATTTAGCAGCTTATTAATTAGCTATACATGCATACTTTTCAGATTTCAATTCAATGCCTGGACAAGGGAGAATCAACCAATTAGGTGGAGTTTTTATCAATGGTCGACCACTGCCAAATCATATTCGCTTAAAAATTGTGGAAATGGCAGCACAAGGTATACGGCCTTGTGTTATTTCAAGGTAAATTCGAAACTCACATTATATCTATTGTATCTGTTTGGTTCTTGCATAAACTCAAGTTTTTAAAAATGAAAGTCTTACCAGTTGGAAAACATAACATTCAAAATTTTTTATTTGCTACAAATTCTGCAATAGTCTTTGCAAAAAATAAACGTAAATTAACGCTGAAACGAGGTCACAGTAATAGACACATGTTTCCTACACAATACTTTACTTACAGTGTACTAAAATATGAAATCTGTATTAATATAATGTATTTAATAAATAAAAAAGAAAAACTATTTTTCCTTACTTTCTATGTCCAATATATTTGGTATGTGCTCTTGTTTCATTTTTCTCTACTGATCATTACTCTTGTATTTACGCTAATTTTAGTGTCCCTAAACTCTTTTTTCTTTCGTTGCGCGAACTTTGAAAACTCTAGCCAAGGGTCTATTGCTATTACATTTCCATGTATTTTCCTGTTAATCAGCTAGCTCACGCAGCTCTTGTATAGAACGCTCTGGGTTTATTTCCCCTTTGTATACTATTTGGTTCCGAAAAAGCACATTAGATGGGCCTACATGTTATACTCAGGCAATATATAACTTAAGATTTATAATTTAAGAATTCTGTTTTAAGTCTGTTAAGCTGAATGTCTGATTTTCTTAATGAGTGGAAATATTTCAGAGGTTCGTTATACCTGATAACTGTAAAGTGGCATCCACACAAAATAGGTCTAAATTTCTTTTTAGCGAATACAATTGCCAGTAAATCCTAGTCATACAGAAATAATGAAAGAACATTCCTTTCAAACAACGTGAAACGTGTTCATACAGTCTGTCCTTTCTTATCTTACCCTGATTAAAGATTACGTCCAGCACATAATCTAATGTATCTGTTGTCAGAATGAAGTGTTTTTTAAAATCTGGGGCGATAAGTACAGGTCAACTATACAGATGGTCTACAAGGGTCTTAAGCACCTGCCTTTCTTAGTAGCCTAATTAAAATCTGATATCCGTTCTTCAGAGTCTTTATAACGGTTATAAAATTCAATGTTTTACGTGCTTTATCAGTCAAGCCAAAAAACCACTTAATATCTACTGTCTATAATAAGTCACCTTTTTATTTGATAAATGTGGACCCCATAACTAGACAAATAGTGGTATACGTTTCATTTTCGCAATTTTCATGGTTGCTTTAGGAAGCTGTCCTATTTTTTTTTACACTCTGAAAGTTTGGATTCGTCGACCTCTACATGTATGTCAAGTGCCTTTGTCCAAATACTTTTTTTGGAAGCTCTTCTGCCGTTCCTTACGCGCTTACCAATCTACTATGATGAAGTATTTTTTCACTCTGCTGCAGTACGTTTTATTTTTTCCCGCATTTTCATCTCCACTATTTTTTATTGCTCCATCGTCTGTGGACCCCTTTCTCGCACATTTTTTTTTTTTTGCTGGATACGCTTCTGTCTATCTCTCTATCTCTAGTTTGCATTCAACGTTTGGACACCATGCCAAACATCGTGTAAGTTCAAAACCGTGGATGCATCTCTTCTGTTGTCAGCATTGTATTAACCGTCTTCTCGCTGCAATAACTCCTATCTTGAGATGGCCCGTACCTGATAAAATTCTTATTATAGTCGTCCCTCTTATCTTAATTTTTATAGCTGTATCTATAATGGTTGAATGTACCCCTACTACAATTATTGTACGAGTTACCATGGAAGTGGTTGCCGCAATCATTATTAGTTCGAAGATTATAATTATTATACCTGTTATTGTAACAATTGTTTCCAGGCTCCATTTGGTGACTGTTATAACTCCTTTTATATTTATTTTTATTATTTATATTAAACTTATAATTCTTACCTTTATAATGATTAGCGCTCCTGTTGGTAGGAATATGGTTTACAGGTTAGTTATGCCCCTCGCTTCTCTGTCATTCCTTTTCCTCCTTATCTTGATTGCGTGAGTGTCAGTCTCTCGCATACTGCCCTGGTCTCTAATAATAATTGTGGTTCATCTTCAAAAATTTTTCGTTGTGTTTTGAAGTCCTTTTGTTGTTTACTTAAGTGAGTAGTTTTCAGCACTCATTAACTGAATGCCTGGTTTAGCCGTCGCTATATATACATCACTTTTCGTTTGTTGCTGTTCCTCTTGTGCTACTATTACTAATGCTTACATAAATGCTTTTAACTTAGCATAAAGTCCTACCTATACGTAAGTATTATAAACCATTACATAAGGACTGTATTGTATTTGCATAACCTCGCCTTTACTCTTAATTTCTATGTCAAAAAACTTTTTTTGTGTAATCTGCACTTAGTTTATTGAAAGTATGGCAGTTGGAATGAAAACAATAACACTAACATTTTTCTAATTTGTCAATCCACAATGTTTCGCTTGACTTTACACTAATCTTTTGGGTTCAATATAATTAGCGTTATATAAAGCACGTGTTTTTTCACAATTTGATCGCGTGAGACTATTGCCATATGTAGCTATCCTGGTCATTATCAAACTTTTGCGTCCCAGCCACGGCAGCTGTTAGTTGCTTTGCCATTTACGCGTATCATGACTAGTAATTTTTTGCTATTAAAGCCATCTTTAAGCTGTGGTTGAGCTTTAATGGCCGAGAGACACACGCAAATATCATATAATAGACGACAAGCACTCTAAATGATTACCCTCTTGAATACTATGCAGTTGTCTAAAAAACGTATTATGCTATATTGTCATTACTTTGTTCTCAGCAACTATTATTATATAATTTTTCTTGTGACTTTTATATAGGTCCAAGGCTCAGACAATGGGACACACAGTGATGTTAATTCCTCAGACACAATTGGTAATCCTTGAGATTCGTTAAGTAGTGGTAACTGCGTCCACTGAGTACAGACTACAGACCTTACGTATAGAAGGGAATTTTGGCGGGGTTGTTAATGTAATGACAATGGGTTAACTATTTAAAGTAGCAATTGGTTAAAAAAAGAAAAAGCAAACTGTTAAATTACTGCAAATGGAAATGTTGTAAGGATTTTGGCCTTTACAATAAATAATTAAATAAAACAATTAGCTCAATTTGCGCCAAAAATATTTTATTTTTGCACCCAAGGCACGATTGCAATATAATTTAACCTAAGAAAAAAGTATAACATGTGTGTGAGCTTAAGAAATCGTTTTGATTAATGCATATTAGTACTAATGCTCGAGTCATTGAGTATTTTTGTAAATTATTGTTATTCAGACCATATTAACAACATTTTAGATATAACTGTCACGTATAATAGCATACAGATGTACATCCATGGGCCCCTCCCAGTTTAAAGCCTTAAGGATAGAAGAGCAGGAAATATTGAAGGATAGAAGCTGAGAGTTTAAGGGAGTCAGTTGGTAGCAGGGCAGTTGATGGGTAGCCAGTAAGTGAGAGTCGATCGTTAACCTGCAAGAGGGACGTATAGTGTGTTGACGCAAGCATATAACATTTGACCTATTGGAAAAGAGTAAACATAGGACAACCATCTCAACAAAGTTATCGACTCACCTGAGACAGGGCAAGTAGACGCAATGAGGCCCACACAGATCATTTGAAGCATACAAAGTTTATAAAAACAAAGGCCTGTAGCTATCTACCGGGGACTTGCAACTAAGTGTACAGATTCTTGTCACACTAGTAATACTCTTTGTTTAGTCTCTGGGTATAGGGGGAGTATTTTAACTATCATCCCGTTATATTTTTATCCTTCTCTATGGGTTTTTTTTTCTCATAGAAGAGGGATATTTTAACTAATAGAAGTAAGATAATTACCAATCAATAAAGGTACCTTTATTATAATTTCTGTACATTATTTTATTTTAAAAAAAAATTGCTTAACGTTTTAGGTGGTAGTGAAAGAAAAAGAAAAGGGATAGATTCGAACTCACAGTGCTGTACAAAAATTCATTAATGAATGCACATAAATATACATAGTTTAAAGCAAAATATTTTAGAAATAAGCAGCAGAAAATAGCACTATAATTAATCTTTCTTGCACACTTCTCAAAACTTGCAAAGATTGCGAGCCAACGGCAATTTTTTTAGAACACGATTTTGAACCCAACGTGCTTTAGATGAAAACAAATAAAGAGACACAAATCATTAGTAAAATTGCTAAAAAATATCAAACTGAAGATTTTATTCAAAGAGAAAAATCAAAACGTGATAATACATAAGGCAACAAAAGAGGCTGCCACGTTCAAAGATCTTAGAACAAGAGTTAGCATTATTAAATTTAAATTTAAATTTAAGGCAAATGGGACTAAAATTTTAATGTAAGGCCAACAGTTATTTAGACAAACAAAATAACCAAAGGAAAACATTTAAAGGTGGAAGGAAGAATAGGTAAATCCGACCCTACAACAAACTAAACCTAAATCAATAAATAGAAATCTTGCAAAATACTTTGACGATGATAATGACAGTAGATTCGGGGAAGACACGGATTCATGAAGACTAGAGCATGGAAAAGAGAATCCCAAACAGTTTTATGCTTTACTAGGTGACTGGGTGTTCTAAACTTTGATTAAAACAGTAAAAGTAAAAAAAGCTTTTTTCTTGAGAATCATAAAAATTAAAGGTTATTTTTTGAATACGGCAAAAACAACTGTTTTAACATTCTTAAGTAACAAAAGTTAAAGTGCCTTACTTAATTATTTGTTAGAGCAACCAATAAATCAGAAGATGAAAAACACCTAACTTAAGAATACTTCACAAGACTTTTACAAACGTACGATATATCAGCAGCCAGTACAAAGCAATTTTTTTTTTAGGAACAAATTATTTAAATATATTAACTTGTCTGAATAGTGCTTTTAGTGGTATACTGCTGCATAATAGATATCCTGTACAGTTAATTTTGTTTGAGCGAATAATTAGAATAATAAAATCAAAAATCCCCGTTTAATGTAAAAAATATTTTATAGAACTTTTGGGGGATAAATCACAATGTATATCAGGGGTTGGTTCTGCACGCAACAACT